ATTGTACACAGGTAAGTTGGGAAACTAGGGATCGAGCCCTGGGATCTACCTCAGCTACCACGAATTGGTGAATACCGTTTCAGTATGTATGAATAGTTGAATCAGAATATGATATATATATTTAGCTATTCATACATACGATTCATACATATGTATGTCAGCCTCCTGATGAGTCCGTTGGACTTGGAGCAGTTCGACACAGCCTCTCGTTTGCTGTTCTCGTCTCCTTCTCTACCTCTGGTTTACCGGGCAGCTCTGTTTGACAATATATATATATATAATATGTATCGGGTAAGCTCGGTGGTGGCACAAACGAGTTTGAGAAGGGCAACAAAATCCCACACGGGCAACAAACTCACGTGCGGAGTTCAAAAGAGCAAAAAAAGCATTTTTACCTGCGCGCCGAGTTTGAAAAGGGCAACAAAATCTCACATGGGCCACAGGTGTTTTTACCCATATCGCCCTTTTCAAACTCTGCACCCGATTTTGTTGCCCCACACATGTTTCTTTTGCCCTTTCGAAACTCAAGTGTGAAACTGCACGACTTGTTGCTATATGTACATACAATCATAGAGAACTGCCTAGTTCATGGTAGGCAGCAATGGAGACGAGGGCAGGGGGGAAAGAAAAAAAAAAAGCAGAAAGGGATCAGAGGAGAACAAATGACGGGCTGTGACAAAAGCCAACTCATCAGGATTCAGGAGGCTGGACCTTGGACAGTCTGGCAGAGTCCCCTAACTAATGATACTAAAGTCTAAAACTTCTGAAAGTGATAAGCCACCACTGCATCATCAGACAGCACTTTCAGGTGAACACTAGACAGAGGGAGAAGAGGTCAACAAAGAGGAGCTGTGAAGCTGGGACAGCCTGAACTGCCATGTTGTGCCTCTAGTGCCAGCCGTCTGTCTGGGCTCTGGACTCTGGAATGTATTTTCTGGCTGTGAGAGACCTTTCTCTGTTTCGTGGGTGTGTTGCTGGCTGGTAGACATTCCCTGCAACACCAACTATAGGTTGGAAGGGGTGTATACGGCTCGCTTAAAACTTTTATGAGGGAGGAGGAGAATGTTGATGATGTCAATCATGTCATGCATGGGGGTCAGATGTAGAGGAGGAAGAGAGGGTCCGTGAAATGAGGGAAGAAGATAGGGGGCATCAACCGTACATGCGTTAGGCTAGGGTGTGAGTTGGATGGGCAGGGGATGCACAGTCATGCACTTAGTGACGTTGGTCGTCCTCAAGCCAGGAGAACGAGGGTCAAAGAGAAGGGACACCATCTTGGGGGGCAGGCTTGGCCATGCCGGACTGCATTCTGAACGAGTATGTGCGTCAGGGGCTGGCTTGACAGACTCTGACGGGCGAGGGGGGGCACAAGATAGAGGAGATGCTGAGTGCAGATGGTCTTTGGATGCCGCAAGGGGCACATTGTAGGGCACTTGTTTTCGTTGTAATTGTGACGATTTGGAGGTCTAGAGTGGGGTGAGGCTGATGAAAATAAGGTCAAGGATGCGGCATGGACAATGTCTGAAAGGGCTAGAGGGGTGGCCATTCCAGAGGGTGGATGATGACGCATCCCGAGGAGAGAGGAATTCTGGGGGTAAGTGTCAGGACAGAGTTCCAGCCTCTGGTTTTGGGTCCTGGGGTGGGACCAGCACGTTAGGGTGGTGGGAGCATATGTTTAGTCATCTCAGCGATGGGACAACCATTCCATTTTTCTAATTACAGGCAAAATGTGTCTATATAAATGTGTTTTGTTTAACTAAGATGACGGATTGAGGAGAGTTTTCTAGTTTCGTAGTCTTTTTTTTTTTTTTTCCTTACTTTTTTGTAATGCATGGTGGCCATGGAACATACATTTGATTCATTATCACGAAAACAGTTTCAGTATACCACATCGAGGAGAGTAGTAGGCAAAGTACTAGGCATTTTGTGTTTCGTATTACTTTCGGGTCTGCTTGTGATTTTGGCCAGAGATTTGCTTAGGCCAGGAGTGTTAGAAGGGGCTATGCTGGAGCAATTGTCCCAAAAAAAAAAAAAAAAAAAAAAAAAAAAAAGGGGGACTATGCCTTACATTTCTGGTTGCACCACCCTGGCTTGAGTGTCACAGCGTGTCATTTTGTGACTTCCCTGGTTGCACCACCCTGGCTTGAGTGTCACAGTGTGTCATTTTGTGACTTCCCTGGTTGCACCACCCTGGCTTGAGTGTCACAGTGTGTCATTTTGTGACTTCCCTGGTTGCACCACCTGCTGGTCACATTTCTTTGCTCCAGTGTTGAGTTCATGATGTCATGATGATGATGATGATGATGAGAGATGCGCTGTCATGATGTCATCTGCTTGTTCAGCAACCACCGTGAGGCTTGAGCTGAAGGCACAAAAACATTGAGGCCCCACTAGGGACTCTAGAAGAGAGTCTATGGGCAAGGACAATTTGGCCAAGGTCCTACCCGCCTCAGACCATACTCACACTAGCACGGAAACCGCAAAATGGCAACGTAGTAAAATTTCAAATTTGCGTACCTTCTAGGGTCATACAGTCGCCGTATTTTGTGAATTCACATATCGGGGCATGTAGATGTCAGCAGCCTGGGGAGCCGCTGGCATACATATTTTGCGGGCACCTCTGGAGGTGCCCGCAAAGGACTTGTTTACTTTTATGTGATTTCCTTCCCCGTTCACTGTTAATCTTTTGTGCCTCACACGGAGTCAGTGAGTCACACCTTGCGCTCTGCGTAAATCCGCATTTTGGTGACTGGTTGCGGTCTGCGGCGGTCATGCCTTTTCTGTCTTCTGCTAGATGCAGGAGAGCTGTGTGACCAGGCAGAGGCTGCGCAGAGCCCTATAATGCCTAAATCGCAACACAAAATTCGTGATGTTACCTGCAAGTGTGAATAGGCGCTTAGACAGGGAAAGGAGGAAATCTCCCCCCCCCCGGAAGACTTTAGATTCCTTTAGCCCCAAACTGGTCACACCCGAGTCTAAGGCCGGTAGGTTCGTGTAAGGCCTGTAGGCCCGTGGGGCCTGAGGCTGTGGTGAAAAATGAACAGTTTTTTTTCCCGGGGGTGGGCTGCACAACCTGATCAGCATGGGACCAACTTCAGACCAAGGAAGTCAGAAGGTTCTCGTTTTCCCTTTCTAATGGCCCCAGTGTACATTCGGAGTTGCTACTCATGTGGTGCGCTTGGAATTCCCACTCGGGTCTGTGATTCCATAGTTCATGGGTCACATGATGGGTGTAGTACCCAGACTGTGTACCAACTGAGCTAGGCCAGTTGGTAAATCATAGCTTTTTTCCGGTGGGGAACCTACTACCTAGTAGGCTAGTACCTAGTACTTATTCCCTGAGAGTGGAGTGATAGGACCCAAATGTTGTAGCAGAGTACCGACCTGGCAAGTTTGGGGCCAAAGTCGCCAAACCACGCACGGACGGGGGAAGCCCGGAAAGGTAACTGTTCTCCCTTGTCGGAACTTCAAAGTTATTCAGATAAGTGGGAGACGAGAACAGTTCATGTGGAGGATATGAAGGGAGTGGATGATTATCGTTTATCACCCGATAGTATAGGAGCGTTGATTGTATTTGGCGTACAGATGTGATGATGCTATGATCTTCCCCTTGCCCACTATGATTCTCGTGGTACCCTCCGGTTTCCGGCGATGGTGCCATGACTCGTGAGACATCACGACAGGGCCGGACAGGCCAATGTGCCCAATCACTGTCTTTCGCAGCAGGGGACTGCTGGAAATTGAGGCAAAAGTCGGGGTCTTGATTAACCAATTTTGACCCTTGTCTGTTGACCGGCGAATGTGCAGGTACTAGGTAGTCATCCTACTGGAGCTGGGCTGGCCTGAACCCGACTGGTGCCCTTTGACGGAGAGGCTTTGACCGGGGAAAGCTGCTTCGTGAGGAGCGGAAGATGAAGAGTAAGGTATCACCTGAAACTACAGTTATTTACAGTTTTAAGTAAACTTAACTACAGTTAACTACAATTAACTACATTTACTGGCGCCAGGGTCATGCTCGGTTCGAATCTATAGATATAGAGTGAAACTACCACTAATTACAGTTAACTGCAGTTCACGACAGTCAACTACAGTTCACTACAGCTAACTACGTTTACTGTAGTCAGGCTCTCTATGCTCCGTTCGGCTGTACGCAGTGGACGTCTGACTGTCACATCTACTTGGCGTGCCTACTATTAGTCTGTTGTCTCAGCTTACCTTAGAATCTCGTTTAAGCCTTGGCCGGTTCGGCACCGGTTCTCCAGTGTTCTATTAGAGCCTAGAGGCACCGCTTCCCTGGGGAGGGACCGCCCGATGGGACTCCAGGAGAAGGATAGTGGTAGGGGCGTGGGGCCAGGCTCGTTTGGCTTGTTCCCCATCGTGGTAGGGAAAAAGGGTGGAGTGAAACAGGGTGTGGTAATGGTTGTGTGGTTTTCGGTCATGCTGTTGTTTGTCCAAGGAAAGCACGATTCGCCTCGCATCTTACGTAAACATCGATGTGGTGGTGGTTTACGTACCCTGATGGCTGCCGTCGACTGGGCTACATTCATGCCGACAAGCTCGGCAAGCAGCAGCGAGCCAGCACCGCAAAGCGCGTCAATTATGCCAAGCAACAGCCAGCCGCTAATCAACAGCCTTAGCAACAGCCAGCCGCTGATCAACAACCTTACGTTAATCGCTCTAGGCAATCTGAGTTCTTCCAACACTAGAATTAGATCAGTGGTGGACCTTTCACAAAATTTCACCTCCTTCTTGGCCGATGATTCTTGTAAATTGACGTTCAACAGCATGGTGCTGGATGACAGTAGGACGGTCTTGGACTACATTCTTGACTTGCGCTGCAGCGTGTCTAGCGAAGACATCATCACTAACTGGACTGTTTCAGTGTGGAAGGTACAACGAGGCAGTGATCCCACCAATACTGGCCTCGTAACGTACTGGTGGCCCACTAGTGAGATGAATCGAGGGGCGTATGAAGCCGGGAGTCCTGGGATGCAAATGCAGACCAGTCAGGAAGATGACCAGTCTCAGAGCATGGCTGCCCTGGACTACATTGACATGTCAAAGGGGGGAAACCTCCTCTTGACTTCACAAAGCTCTAAGGAGCCAGGTACATCATGGATAACGGTCCTGTCTCTTCCTGGAAATAGTCGAAATAGTCGTGAGCTCTATTTCAGAGCGGAGAGCATGGCGTTCAGCCTCTCCACCGGAACACTTTATTTTGCTAGTGGGGATTCTAAGCCGCACCTTCGTAGTGCCGCTCTTGAAGACGACAACCCTCCGACAGAAGTCTTTCCGATTAACAACTTGGAGCAAGACCAGGAAAACACAAGATTCATATTCAGCAGGAGGAGCATCTCTGTGGAAGGGCGCTGCCTTCTTGTCATCAAGGACAGGAAGCAGGTGTGGGCCTTGTCATTGGATGATACTCCAGCCCCGCGTCCTCAGTCCAGGCAGATGTGGCAGGTTGCACCGCCGGTGACCGGGTCCAAGATGTTGCGGAGCGTTGTGGTGACCAGCGACGGCTGCCATGCTTTCGTCATTCAGGAATCCCCAGGTGGCATTTACTGGATTCAGCTCAGTCGGCCTTGTGGCTTCGCGTCAAAGATGGAGGAGATTGCCAAACTGAGCGACGATATTAAAGCCAGATTGTGTTCCTTAGAGCTAGGTGAGGACGACAACAGTGTTAACTTGTATGTTGGATCGGACAAGGGCCTCTTGTTCGAGCTCGCTGTCAGCCGCTCGGTACTGCAAACCTGCTCTTCTTCTATACCCCCTCCTCCGAGTGTGGAGGGATCATCAAACTCAAGGACAGAGGACCCGTCTCGCGTAGAGGCCCCTCTTTCCTCGGAACGCAATCTTCCTTCCCCTTCACGCTCCAGCAGCAATGTAGGTCTCGCACTTGGTGTGTCGGTTCTGTGCATTGCAGCGGTGATACTGGCTATCGTGCTGGTTATCATGCACGTCCGCAAGAAGCGTCGGAGCGGCTTCGAGCAGCTGCGACGTGGAGCTTCCTTCGCTGCCGAGGAGAACGAAGGTTTGAAATTATATAGCTTGCGCACACTTGAAGATGCCACGGAGTTCTTCAGCGGGAGTTACCTGACTGATCTTGGCGGGGAATTAGCAGATGTTTTCTGGGGAGCGATCGAAGAGGAGGCCGTGTTGATACAGCGCATGAACAAGTTTCCCTATTGGACAGATAATTCGGGCTTGCCATTCATAGCTCGAATGGAGACGCTGGGTTCCATTCGACACCCTCGTCTCTGTGCATTGATAGGGTATTGTGAGGGAGAGGGCTCCCAGATCCTCGTATATCGAGACATTCGAGGGTGTACTAGCCTGTTCAGCCCCTTGAATGAACCAGACAAGAATCCCGGGAAACCATATCTCCTCCATCGTTTGACTGTGCCTGAGCGACTAAGTATTGCTTGTCAGATAGCGGAAGGTTTGACTCATCTTCACGAGAAGTCTATCCTCCACTTTAATGTCAGTAGCAAGAACATATTTCTGCACGATGACACAGTAGAGGCCATCTTCGCAGATTACTCGCTGAGTTTACCGATGGGGAAAGAGATGTTGGGCTGTAACTTGCGGGGCCATAAATATGAGCATAGAGATGTAGATATCGAGTCTACGAGGGGGGTCTATTTGGCGCCAGAGTGCAAGAGGCAATCTTTAGTGACAACTGGAAGTGACGTGTACGCTTTCGGAATCATCCTGCTAGAACTTCTAGTGATGGAAAACGCGACGATAGACTTGAGCACCCTTCATAATCTTCAGGCTGGCCGAAATCTCAGCATTCAGCAGGAGCTGTTGGGTGGCCATGGCCAGGAGCTGCTGCCAGACGGTGTGTCAGCGCACCAGATGGTACAGCACATGCTAACCGTTGCCAGGGATTGCACTAGAGATGCAAATCAGAGGCCCACAATGAGCCACGTGGCAAGCTCGCTTCGCAGTGTCTATGGTGTTGATGTTTCTGTACAGAGGCCGACGTGATGTTGTCGATGTTGTGTCGGAGTCAGAGTATCAGAGAGTATATTAGGCATCTGCACAAGGGGCAGAGAAACTGGCAGTGGTGGCTTGACTTTCACTGCCTGATGGTGCAAGCCTTCCCAAGACATTGCGCAGGTGTTTGAGGAATTGGATATTAGTGAATACGAACACGTGTATTTTAGAAACTTAAGGTAGATGCTAGATATGGACAAACCAGAGCTCGATGTTACAGTTTCAGAACGCTAGGATCAGAGGAGCTCTGACTTTTCAATTTCATGAACTGACATCAAGGGAGGGTGATGCCATGATGGTAGCCGAGTGCTCAGGAGTCAGAAGCAGATCCCAGTAAAATGGATGGACCTGGGCTCCTTGCTGCATAAGAAATCAAGAGAGAGGCCAGACTAAAAATAGGTAGGTAGGTGGAAACCTGCTGCCGTCAGCCATGCTTTGGTTCTCGCTTTCTGCCACTCTATGAAAGCAAGCTATGGCTGCGAGGGAGCGGCAGGTGCCGATCTTCGCAATTATGGTTATGGGCCTGAGGGAAATGGTGCAGTGGACTGATGACATTTCTATGCTGCGAGGGAGCGGCAGGTGCCGATCTTCGCAACTAAGGTGGTATCCAGAATCCAAGCGAACGCAGGACAGCAGGTGGTTTGAACTTTCAAAAAAAGCAGTGCTGTGACTGCTGTCCATTCTCTTACTAAATGGACAGCAGCTGGTTTCAGGGAAAAAAAAAAAAAGGAAGAAAAAGAGGTGGTACTAGAATTCAAGTGAACACTGGTAATATTAATTCCTATCCTGGTCGGACTGAGTCTCATCTTGTGCACCGTAGGGCCGTAGGCATATGACCACCTCTTTTTTTTTTTTTTTGACCACCTCTTACGTTGTCGAGCAATACCGGTGAATCCGACCAATACAAAAATAGACGGTATATAAACATGTCCGAATTAGGGAAGATCGGACTACCTTTCACATGCAGACCTCTTAAAAGCCGAGGGCTTCTTTTCTCAAAGAGGGTTTGGTAAGGCGCAGGTCTATCGGCGGGAAGTGTTGGGAGCATCTCGATTCTCAACCACCCGATGCTACGGTAGGACGGCCTCAGATGTGCCCTGCAGTATGGGCCCTTTGTACTGGACCGGGAAACTTTGGGCCAAAATTGCCGCTAAAATTGGGCTGATAAACCCAATAGGTTCGCCATTGGGTCATATGATCTACCAATTATCCCCTTCGCGGGTCTTCATTGACTCAATTTTGGTTCAAATTCCAAACAGATTTAAAATAAATGATTGGCAAACTTCAGGAGGTGGATAGAACTGGATACCGTGGATTCGGACGGCGCGAATGAACCCAAATGAAAGTTGCGTTCGTAGACTATAGCATCCGAATCCACGGTATCCACCTCCTGAAGTTCGCCAATCATTGTCAAACTTCAGGACTCCCAGGTGGCCTACTAAATAAACTGAAACGAAATGGGAAACGGCGCCCACTAGATGACATGTGTTGTTGAGCGTGAGTGCTTCCGGCACCGATGTCAAAACTTGACTAAGTAGTAAGTACTAGTAACGTGACTCCCCTGGTGTCAAAACTTGACTAAGTAGTAAGTACTCGCGCTTCCGCCCACTAGTAAGTACTAGTAACTCTGCCCTGTATAGCCATGGAGACTTAGCACGTACTAACTTAGGATCCTTTCGCACCAGGGGATGTCACATTCAGTCCTAAGTATAGGTGCGGGCTCAGCGGGTATTTATCTCAGTAAGGATCCTCACTAGACTATGAAGTATAAGTATGGACCATAATTAACTCGGCTTCGCAAAGACGGATCAGTGGTATTTATCTCGGGTGCTTCTACCTCGCTGGAACCCAGCTCGTCCCATACTCCCAGGTACATTGGTCCCACAGAATGGTGGAATACCGCCAGCAAACTGAGAAAAGTAGTAGAAACGTGGATGCGAGAGAGAAGAAAAATGATGACTTCTCCCCGGGGACAGTCTCGCTGAGGGAGGTCCAAACGTCAAGGGAACTCCTTTTGATGTTCCCCGCTCTTGAAACTGTGTCTACTATCTTAGTCTATCTAGTATCTGGGAATAGATTTTCTGAAATTTCTGCGATATTTGGACCTTGGGTCATTGGCTGCGCAGTCAGAGACAAGGCCGCAAGGCGGCTAGGGAAGGCCGTTTACTTTTCCTTTTGTCCATTCATGGAGAACTGAGTATAAATAGTGACGACTCCAAAACCTCTCATGCTTTAGGCCATAGGGAAGAGGGAAAGTGGTTTGCACAACTTTGCAGGTCTCGTGGGCACCCGTAAAATCGTCCCTCCGGCAGCTGTGCAGGATGCGAAGCCGCTGCTCACATTTGGGAACCAATGGGACCCAACTCAATGCGATGTGAAACTCAGCATGGACAAACCATGCAAGGCCTCTGCGCTCTGAGACTGCGAGTGCTGTCTTTTGTTTCCATTGATCTGAAAGTTACTGGAACATGTACAGATACGGAAGAGAGAGAGAGAGAGAGAGAGAGAGAGAGAGAGAGAGAGAGAGAGAGAGAGAGAGAGAGAGAGAGAGAGAGAGAGGCAAACCTACCGCCTGTTCAATTACACTGATTAGGGTCCTTACTTCACTTTATTCACTGTAGTTTGGTGGTTATTGGTCACTTTATATTCACTTCATTTGAAGTAATCCGTGTTGCGGACGCGGGAGAGTACGTGGATTGGTGGAAGTGTAAAATAGAGACGTGGAGGTAGGGATGAGGTGAGCGAATGATGGCGAGTGCTCCATCTGCGTCCAACATGCTCATGAATTATGATATCATTGATATGCATAACTTGCAAGTGTATCTAAATATATTTCCTTCTCAGGACATCTCCGGGCCTTTTTTTTGTCCTGAGTCCTCCGGTGTGTTTTGCATCCGAAAAAAAGAAAGAGAAAGAGCCTGAGAAGGCAAACGCCACGAAAAATGGCAGGAATGTATACAGAGAAACTGCTGGACCAGCTAAAGAAAACCTGATCGGCAACGACGGCAACAGCCAAAGGGTCAGACAGAAGGTCGCTGGCCCAAATGCCAAAAATAGAACATGTATCTGCTATAAGAAGGTCGGAGATCCGTGCGGTGCGTGCACGCTTCGGACAGATTTTGGTTGAGTTAAGCACATTCAATTTGTCAATTGTTTCTGACCACAGTAATATTTTGAATAATGATTCTCAATTTCTGTCCTCTGTTAACATTTGCTTACTTTCTTGCACTGGTAGTAACTTAGTAAGGACATCACGGGTGCCTCAGGATAAAGGGGGATGAATCGGATGATTGTCTGGGGCGTAGTAGGCAGGGTGGGTTTCGGCGGCCTCATTCGTCACTTGACTCACTTCGTTCATATTACCCCATAATGTTAAACCGAGATTACTTCCGAGGCTCTTTTCTCTCCTTTTGGCTGGAAATGCCCTATGTTCCAAAAAAAATAAAAACGGGCGCCTCGCCGCCTCCTTTTGGCTGGCGCCGCCAGGCTCCAGCCGTTCTGCCCCAGAGGCCGAGCCCTGGAAGTTGCTGCAGCATGCAAGCCAGCAGTGCAGGTTTGAAAAAATGGCTGGGAAACGTACTGGCGGTTTAAACTTAAACAGCATGCCTTGTAAACCCTGAAAGCAGCAAATTAGAGGGTGCCCCATTTGGTGACCCTGAAAATAGCAAAGAAAGCTCAATTGCGAACAAAATGGTAGGGTGGCTTTTTTCATTTTGGGGATTTTGGGCAACCCCGTTTGTTGTTGTCTCCATCAGGATACAAGGTGCTTGATTGATTTGAGTGTGTGAGAGGCAAGGTGCCTCGTACCCCACCTCAAAACCCCTGAAAACAGCGAAGCAGACGTTTCATTTTTTTGGTGTGCAAACAGGAATTGAACAACTTCAACATTTAACAAAATGAACGTTATCGAATTCCGTTTTACAATACGAACATGGACAATGCGGTGTGTGTGGTTTGGAATCTTTGAATACTCCGAGCATCATGGCTTGCGTCAAGTTGCGTGCAGTAGGGCAGAGGCGGCCCGAGGGTAGTACCATAACTGTCATAACAGCATTGCTGTTACTTTCCATCAACACGGCACGGCATTGTCTTAAACCACCAGTTCTTGGCCCATACATCGGCCGCGGGCCGTTGCCGTTAACGCTACGCGAAGTTCGGGCTTCCGGGTACCGGACCTCAATGGCTGGAAACGCCAGGGGACCGTTTCAATTTTTGCCGAAGCGCCAGGGGACCATTTCAAATCTTTTTGGCTGGCGGTTCGGCAAAATTTGAAACGGTCCCCTGGCGCTTCGGCAAAAATTGGCGCGCAGGGGGATTCCAGGCTCGGCAAGGATAGCTGGGCCAAGTACTGGTGGTTTAACAAGATGTTGGTCAACTCTTCCTCAGCTGTTGTTCGTGAATTCTTGCTGCCTTCAACTTCTGAAACCATGATTTCATCAAGGTGGGATTAAATTTTGTGGAACAGCACACGCATAGCCCTGGTCTTACAATTCAGAAGAGGTTGCACCTGGAAAAAAAAAAAAAAAAAAAAAAAAAGGAGACACAACTGGGCTCGGTGGTCAGTCTGAGACCATTTCAAACAGTGTTCTGAGCTTCTGAGTGAAAACTGGATGAAATCTTTCTCCTCCCTCCTTGGCTCACAGCTTCTTTATTTTTCTGGTCGTCTTCTGGATCGGGCTAAGACAGTAAGAGCGTCTTGCCTTGTCCTCTGCAGCCTTCAGGGTGATAGTCGCATCCTTCGGGGGTACTCCGTGTTGCCCAACCACTTATATACTCACTGGACAACCGCTGGGACGATGATTCAGGAAAGCTGGATCAGCCGGATGGGGACTGAAGGGATCAGAGTGGGTAGGCCGTGCATCAGATTCATAGAGCTGGACATCATTGCTCGGTCCTTACCGTCCTTGTGCTTCTCCTCTCTCCCCCCATCGCCTACAAACATCCGCAGTGTCAACGCCACCATGGGACGCTGGGCCCGGTTCCCAGTTTGTGCCAATTTGTGAGGATATGGTTGTATCTATGGGACGCTGGACCCGGTTTCCAGCACGTGCTGCTCCCCACCAATAGATGGAGCTTTTTAAAAAAAAAAAAAAAAAAAAAAAAAGTGTTACAGTAGGCTTATGACCCTATGAATGCCAACCTGAGGGGGCCAACAGGCTATCAGATTCTCTACTTTGAAGGCACCAACCATAAAATGATGGAGGCCCCTCAACTCCTGCCCAGTTTCAACTCCGTGTTCAAAAAAAAAGGAACGGAAAAGTTCAAAAAACGCAAAACGGAAACGACAAGAACAAAATGTGAGCCACAACTTTCAGAATACAAGTTTCGCAGGATCATGGTTTCACAGTCAGG